GGGCTCCCAGGCAGAGAGAATAAATAGAAGAAGAAATCTGGGAGAAAAAGAAGAGCAAGATTACAAAAGTAAGAAAAGGAAAAAGCCCAGAGGCAAAAGGTAGATGGAATAATTTAAAGTTAAGAAAAGCTGGCAAGAAGCAAGACCAGCTAAGGCTGGCATTTATAAGTAAGAATAAGCTTCCGAGGGTGGTTTATCTGGGAGCTGGGTGGGAGGCCCCCAGAAGAGCAAAGAGTTAAAGAGTAAAAAAAAAAAAAAAAAAAAAAAACCAACAACACATCTCAACTGAGGACTTGCCTCCATCAAATTAGCTTGTAGGTGTGTCTGCAGGACATTTTCCTGACTGATGACTGGTGTGGGAGGGCCCAGCCCATTGTGAGTGGCAGTCCTGAGTCCTGTAACAAAGCTAGCAGAGCAAGCCATGGGCAGCAGGTCAGTAAGCAGCATTTTTGCATGGTCTCTGCTTCAGTTCCCACTGCACTGCAGGTTCCCGACTGGAACTCTTGTCCTGGCTTCCCTCCATATGGACTGTGAACTATACGGTGAAATAAACCCTTCGGTTTAAGATGCTTTTAATCTTATGTCTTTATCACAGAGAGAGAAACCAGGGCACTGTCAGTCCTCAGTGTTACCATTTTAATCAGGCCTTCGGCATCTCCCCCGACAAGACTAACTGTTCTCTCTCCCTTCCTGTGGGCCAGTCTCTTGTCCTGATGTTTGTTCATCGGACTCTCGATTTCAGAAAGCTGAGAAGGAAGTCCAGATTTCGGGTACCCAAATCAGTCCTTCTGAAGGTAACTCTGGAGTCAGGACCCCGAGGGTATGTGAATGTGCTCTGAGTTGTCCAGCTGGTTGTTGTCTGCCAAGCAGGCAGCCCTTGGGGACTTCAGCTCCACTGCTGAAAACCAGCTCCCATTTTCTTCCCACAGAGAGAAGCAGACCGACGATGGTCCTAGAACTTGTTGTTCTTCCTACATCTCAGGACTCTGTCCTTTCATTTCTTCCTAACTCTTCAATCTCAAAGCCCCACTGGGTCTTTCCTGACAGTGTTAATGACACCCTGAAGCCTCTCTAGATGTGAGCTCTCCTGTGGCCGCCCCCAAGTGCAGCTCCAGCCTCCCTGTGTGAGCCATTCACGAAGTGCATCTCCAGCTCACCATCACCTCTTTTCATCCTACTCACTCCTCGGTCACCATAATCTCACTCATCTCCATAACAACTGGAGAAGCTGTTCTGGATGTGCCTCTCCTTCCAAAAAGGTCACTTTCCAGACTTCATTTTGAATCTTGGCGGCATCTGTCTGTTAACTGTCCCTTCCCGAGGACGCGCACACACACACCATCCTTGGCCTCTCCTCGGCCTGCTTCCTGAACTCTACTGCTTCTTCCTCTGTAGACATTAAAATGTCTACAGGTTCTGGCTCCAGTTCCTGTCCCACCTTCCACCGCCCTCTGAGACCTCACCTCAGGACTGCTCACTCCAACCATCATCAACAAGCCCTTCATCTTTGCCTCTTGCCCTTGTCCCGCCATGTTCTGCTCTCTCCACTGACGGGCCTAACAAACCCTCGCCTCTCAAAAAAATCAGCTCAAATACTGCTTCTTGTAAGCAGATCATCTTAACACCCGAGTCTCTCCCCACCAGACTCCCTGCAACTAGCACATTGCACTGAGCACAGATGTCCTTTTTTTTTTCTCCCCTCTAGACAGTGAATTCCTTGGGAACTAGACCTGGCACATATTAAACATGTAATTAGTGTTTGTCAGATGCATTATACATAGCAAATATATACTGTGATGTGAATGAGTAATGAGAATACTTATTAATAAAATGATGACTACATGTATCATTCAGTGTAGACTGGAGTGACGAGACTAGTCTATTTAACCAAAATTATGTACACTATTTACAAGCACTTTTACCCAATCCTAACTGACATAGAGTAAGACAGTTTCAAAGAAATGGTCACAAATGCTCTTCCCCTGGGTTACAGCCTTGGCAGCACATGCCTCCCTCAGAACTTTGTACACACCCTGCTGCATCTACTTTGGACTTTGTGCATGCCACCTCCTTTCTTCAAAATGGTTTTCTGTTGCAGAATATTTGTTTACACTGTAAAGATGTGTCTCTACCTAGGGCACCTTTTGATTGGTTTAATAAAGAGCTAAATGGCCAATAACTAAGCAGGAGAGATAGGCAGGACTTCTGGGCAGAGAGGGGAAACTCACGCTTGAGAGATGCCAGCCGGATGCAGAATGATTTGGACACACAGAATGGGATAGAGGTAAAATGGTAGAATGAAGGTTAATAAAAATATGGGTTAATTTAAGTTATAAGAGCTAGTTAAAAACAAGCCTAAGCTAAAGGCCAAGCTTTCATAATTAATGAATGTCTACGTATGATTATTTGGGAGCTGGCTGCAGGCAGAAAAGAAAGTCCAACTACAATTTTCTGAATGAACTGTAGCATGCCTGGCTCCTCTACACTCCCAAGGCTTCTTCCCCAAACACAGAGCAGCACTGCACCATAACTTCAACCTCTGCCATGATTCACTGCACCTGACACGATTGGGAAGCACTTTAATTACTTATTAACCTATTTGATGTTGGACTCCTTTATTCTGTTCACCACTTTATTGTCTATATAAACCACTCAAGGTTTCAGGAGGCACTCACAGACACCTGTTGAATGAATGGGGGAGGTACTCAACAGACACCTGTTGAATGAATGTGGGGTAACTTAACAGACACCTGTTGAATGAATGGGGGTGGTAAATGTTAACACTAAAGTGCCCTTATCGCCTAATTACAATGTGAGAAAAGTGCTGGTGTAGGAAATGGCAGGGATTTCTCTCAGGAGAGACAGTTACTCCCCATCTTTAGGGATAGGCAGAGAGATGCATCACCTTTCCTGAGGATACTCACTCAGAAGCAGACCTCTGACTTCACCACAGAGCCATTCAGCTGCCTATCCAAAGGACATCACTCAGCGTGGTGGCTACACGGGAGAAATCACTGACGCAGGCAAAGCCACTAACATTCAGGAGCTGAACTGGCTCTACAGTATTGGTCTATAGAAATGACTGGTCTAGGGGAACCACCACTAAGCTCTACTGTCAACATAAGCCTGAACCTAAGACTTGCCCAGCACCGTGTTCCCAAAACCAAACACAGTTCACGGGTCCTGAATACTTGTTAAATGTGCACATCAAGCATGTCCTAAGAGGAAGAGCCATCCCATTAACTCCCACACTCTGAACGTACTTATTTTAGACAGGTCAAGAGAGCTGAACTACCTGTGCATTGGTTTTACCTTTCCTAGAGTTGTGCTGATTCAACTTTGACTATATTTTGCCCACACAACCTAACCCATAACATGGTACTGCTATTAATCAGATTTCTCCTACGTATGCGTGCTTGCGTGTGTGTGTGTGTGTCTGTGTGTGTGTGTGTGTGTGTGTGTGTGTGTGTGTGTGAAGGTTGATGCTGGATATCTACCTCAATCACTCCTCCACTTTTTTGTTTATTTATTTTGACACACATCTCTCACTGAACCTGGAGCTCACCAGCTTAGCTTCACTGGCTGGCCAGCAAGCCAGAGGATGCTCCTGCCTCCTGTCTCGTTGGCAGGGTTACAGACACACACTGCCATGCCTGGCTTTCACCTGGGTACTGGAAACTAGAACTCTCAGGTCTGCACGCTTGCAGTCCAAGCATCCTACCTGCTGAGCCATCTCCCCAGCCACTCTCGCACTTTTTAACTTTTGTGTGTGTTTTTGGTGCAAAAGGATGCCTCAGTGTGCTGAGAACAACTAAATCAGAGAAATTTACTGTTCACGTCATATCCACCCACAAACGGCAGCTCTAGGAAAGCTACCTTATTCATCCAAAGAGTAGTCTGAAGATGAACTCATTAGTAGCGCTGATGGATTCTGGGGCCAATATGTGAAAGATTCCATAAGTTAAATTAGCTATGAAATATGGGGGGTCATAATCAAACATTAAATCCACTTCAAAGCCTGAGAAGGTAAGCTGTGAGGATGATTTAAGATGATGTCGTTGGTTCTGAGAGTTAGTCACTCTCAGCTCTCTGAGAGACTCATGACATTCACAACAAAACTTTCTGGAGATGCCAGGCACTTCTGTGCTCTGGCAACAGTAACTTCGCATGTGGAGATGGGAAGTACCAACAGTGATAAGTAAATGCGAATTGGAGCTTGTTCAAACAGTTCGCTATTGGTGTATCGGTGCCTAATCTCAACACTGTTTAATTAAGAGTTCACTCTCTCTAAAGTCAACACAATACTGTGGGGGTAAGGTGCTTCGGAGACTGAATAAACTTCTCCGCCCTCCACCTGCAGACCACTGCTGACACTCTAGGAGAGTGCAGCTGCATCCAGAAGCAAAGCGTGCGCTCTCTTGCCAAATGACTTCCTAACTTCACTTTAAAGCGCTTTAGTCGGTTTCCCGGCTCCCCAATACTCTTCAGGGACAATGGGGAAGAAGTACATGGAAGTTAAAACTGAGGGGGCAGATGCTGGGGCAGAGGATGAAATTCACCCGATCCAGGAATCAGATGGGTCCCAAAGCAGCCTATATGAATGAAAGGGGAGAGGGAACCGAGCAGGATTCCAGCGTCGCCCCCGCGGGGACGTCTTCCAGCCCCGCACTCGAGCCATCAAGGGCATGGGCCCGGGCCACGAGATTAGCGGGGCACCCGGCCAGACCCCAACTGCCCAGCCCACCTGCAGCAGGGCAGGAGCTGCCGCGCACCGTGCCTCGGGAGGTGCCGGGAGCGGGCAGGACGTGCGCCCCTCCGCCCTCGGGGCTGCGGTGGGGGCGGCGCCCGCGGCCCCCCAAGAACTGCCAAGGTTCCGACGCGGGAGGCAAGGGGCCCCCTAGCCTTTTGCAAAGCCGAGTCTCTGGGGCCCCCAAGCCGGGTCCGGGAAGTGCCCAGGATGGAACGAAGAGCGCCCCAAGGATGGAGGAGCCGGTACTCACAAAGCCCACTGGAGCCGGTGCTGGTGAACATGGTCCCGCCGGGCCGGGAGCCCCCACGGGGCGTCAGGGGGAGGGGAGGCGGAGGTGGCGAGCCCCCAGCGACCGCGCAGGCGCACTCTTAACCAGAGAGCAAAGTCGGCCCAGCGAGGCGCTCCCGAGCCGCCGGAAGGAAGGCGCATGCGCGGCCTGTGGGGCGAGCACACTCGGCCGGAGTCCTCCCCTTCCTGCGAGGAAGGGAAGTGCGTCCGTGCCGGCGGGTCGGGTACGCGGGTTATTCCGGTAGTCCCGGCTGATTTGGGAGATTGATCTGCAGACGTCAGAGCGCCCGGTGCAGAGGCTCCTCTGCTCGCACAGCGGCGGTGGCAGCCGGTTCTTCCGCTGTAGAATACCGGGTCTTTCTCGAGCCTGGGCCGCGGTTTCCACGCATGCTCAGTACTTCCGAACAGACCACGGAGCTCAGCAAACCCACCTCGGAACACAGTCTGAGCTTCCGGTGACCCACTGTAGAAAACTGTTTTTAAATTTTTTTTTCTTTTAAGAATACGTACTATAGGGAAGTTGAAGGGGCATGCCACAGAAGTATGGACAGACCGCTTCCAAGAAAGCTTGAGAATTTTTAGGGTTTAGCCAACATGCAAAATCTGGGTTTAGATTAGTAAAATACAGCATATCTTTAGGTCAGAGTATTCACATTATTCCAAAACATAGAGGCGTGCGTGATTTTTATGCCATTCAGCCATTATTTCTAGTTGGTTCATAAGCATGAAGTACATTTAACTTTGTGTTCTTCCAGTTGAGGTTGTTTGTTTGTGTGTTTGTTTGTCGGAAAATGATTGATGGATTGTGATGTTTACAGAAGCTGATACCTACAAAATCTGTAGCCCACATAAGAGTGATTCTCATACTATGCGGGGGTTCCTGGGGGGCCATAAGGGGTTCGGAAGACCGAAACCATTTTTGTAGTAGTGCTAAAACATTTTCCTTCCATTCTTATTCGGCCATGAGTAGTAGGGTTTCCCAGTGCTTTCCAGTTAACCAGCACCTGGTAAAACAGCTGGAACTGCAGGGCAAACAAGTCGGTGTTAAGGCAGACCCCTAGTTACATCTAATCTATAGAAGCTACCATTTACACTGGCATTGCATGAAAAAGGGGAAAGATACCTGTTTAATCTAGAAGGGCCACTGAATTGCTTTTCAAACAATTCCAGATCTACTCTGGGTGAGCTTTCTTCATGTACTCCATCCAAAACATATCACAACAAACTAAAAGGAGAGTGCACAGAAAGTTCTATCCAGTCATTAAACGCATTCCTCCTTAAAATTGTTTCCCTAGGAAAGCACCTGGTGTCAACGCTGAACATTTGAGTGTGTGTTGGACATTTTTTTCTGTTTCATCTAAGAAATGACCATACCATGATTAAATAAATAGAGATGACAGAGATAGTTTATAGAGATTCAGGGAAAGCTTCAAAGTCATATAATTGTGTCAAAATTTCATATTAAATCTTGTGTGCCAAGTCCTATATATTATAGATATTAATACTTTATGGTCAACTAATACCACCTATAAAAGGTTATTAACAAATAGGAAGAAATTCAAGTAAACTCCTCATTCTGTTGAACACTGGCATATTTAGAAGAATCGTGTGAAATCTGAAGAGGTACAAAGTCAACCGTGAAATAAGCTGCAGTCAGAAACTTTGTTGCAGTTGCACATCCTGACTGGTGTCAAAATGAAAGCTTGATCGTCACAAATGTATGATTCATAGGGAATGAAAACATTGAGTGGAAATTTTATTTCCAAATATACCAACAATGGAGTAGTCAGAACTTGAAACTCTTGAAAATGATTCCACAGGAACACTTGTTTCCTCTTCCGGTGTCATGTGCAACATCAGAGCAGCAGTTCTGGTCTGCTGGTCCCCTGGGCTTATAAACAACAAAAAGTAGCAGCAGCAACTGAAAGTCAGTGAATCAGTCATCGACAACCCGAGTCACCAGAAATCTTACTGGAAAACCCACACGCCATTAAATGGTATCAGTGCCTTTAACAAAATCAGCTCCTTGAATAAAAGGTTATTCTGTGAAAAGAGGTTTGATTGTCTTGTTCTACATAGGAAATAAAGCATTTCCAAAGAAAGTTGTTTTAAAATAAAAACTCTTTAACACTTATGTATAATTTTGTTTCTTTAAATAAAAAAAACAGTGATACCAAAATATGAGACAACTGGACATATATTTTACCTATATCAGAAGTGTTAAATGAAGATATTAAGCTGCAAACGAGGTTGATATTATTAAAGAGGAAGACTTATAACACTTTCAATGAGTTTAATCATTTTCAAAGAAGATTTTTTTTCACAGCTATCTGTAGTAGATAAGGCTAGTTCTGAGGACAGTGGCTTGGAACCATATTCCTAATTTTTAAAAGAGATTCATTTTTATTTAATGTGTGTGAGTGTCTGCTTGCATGTATGTATATGCACCATGTGTGTGCCCGATGTCAAGGGAGGCCTGCAGAGGACATCAGGTCCTCTGGAACTGGAGCTACAGGTGGTTATGAACGACTATGTGGATGCTGAGAACCAAACCTGAGTCCTCTGGAAGAGCAGCCAGTGTTCTCAACCACTGAACCATCTCTCCAGCTCCATATGTTGCTAATTTTAAGGCTACTTTAGAAAGTAATGGAATCTAAAACTCTAGATCTAAAAATGCATTTATAATATGACTAGGCAGTTAATCCACTCAGAAAGGATATAACAAGTTAGCATATGTTTTCAAGATGTTATCCATCTAAAAACATTACTTGGTACTCAGAAGACTTAGTTAATGTAATTACTAAAAGTGGATTTAGCTAGGATCTTCATTAGACTGCCATTAAAAATAGCCATCATAGACTGGGCTTGGGGGTGGCAGCATTCAGGAGGATCTCTGTGAGGCCAAGCCCAGCCTGTTCTACAAATCCAGTTCGAGGCTACCCAGACTACACAATGAGACACTGTCTCAAACAAACAAACAAAAGTGTATTAGATTATTTCCAGTGAACATACTGAAAGGTTTATGGGGGAAGGGTTTCAGGGCAGTAGAACAATTACTGCAAAACATCAAAATATAATTTGGCATTCCCTTCAAAAGAATTAGGACCTTATTAAGTTTCACCTACAAATTAAATATTTCATATTCTTGCCTTCTGTTTCAGTCTGTCTCTCATGAGACAAAGTTGTATATACAACTAGTTTTATCTGGGAAGTGGTCCTAGACTTCACCAATGGGAGGACAGGGAGTTCACTGAGACGGATCATAACAAACTACCACTATGGGCAATGGGCCTAATCCCACGGAGACCCAGGTCTTGGAGGAAGCCAGCTCACAATGCAAGAGGGTAAGAGTATTTATTCAGTCTCTCCCATAGTTCTTGAGCTTTACTTCCATGCTGTGGCAATTCCCTGCCACTCCCTACTCCAGGGGCAGGGCAAGCCCAAGGCGAGAGCCATGATTGAGAAAAATGCTTCTAAGAGATAAAGACTCAGAAATGGAGCAGAGTGCAAGACCATCAGCTGTAGAATCCTGCATGAATCTTTCAATGAGTTTGTGAAATAGTGATTTTTATTTTATTTTTTTGCTGAGAAAATTACATGTGGATGCTATAGTGTGGGTGTTTCTAAGGGTATGTAAGGGTGGTCTGAGAACACCATACCACTTTTCTGGAGCCCTTTTACTTTCCATTTCATGTGTTTCCCACCACACTGCAAAGGATGTGGTCTCCAGGGTCCTTTTTAAGGTCTAGAAATGGAAGCCTTACCCACACACAGTGGGCTTCTGTTACCATGTGAAGGTATCACCTCCATTCTTCTCAAAGGAAAGAATACAGCCAAGAGACAGGGACATTTTGAGCAATTTATTAAAGTAAATCGTGCACTTCAAAGAGGTTAGAGTGGGCTGATGGGAAAGAGGAGGGAGGCAACACTCCCGGCTCTGTGTTACAGATTTTTTTTAATGTTATGACATTTATGAGGTGAGTGGCATATTCATGAGGTAAGGTGACTCTTCCTCCCACATCACTGTGGACCGGATCTCCTGTTCTGGCTATTTCTCCCAACGATCATCTTAAAAAGCCCCAAATGGGTGGAATGAGGAAGTCAAAGCCACACTACAAATGATACTATAATGAAGACAAGGTTTTTTGAGGGTGTAGGCCCTTGGTTAGTACACCAATGTGACAACTGGGGCATGGCGCCTTGATTTTTTAAATCTAGATTTATTTTTATTTTATGTGTGTGACTGTTTTGCCTATATATATGTGCATCCTATGTGGGTCTGGTGCCTATAGGGTCAGAAGAGGGCAGATCCCTAGATTGTGAGCCATCGTGTGAGTGCTGGGAGTCAAGCCAATTCCTCGGCAGGAACAAGTGTTCTTAACTGCTGAGCCATCTCTCCTACCCCAAGCCTTGATTTTTTATATAGTTAACAGATGTACCACACAGGGACATTCTGACCATCAGGTGACACAGCTACCCAACAACAGTTTTCCTTGGGTAACTCTCATCTATATCCTTGCCTACTCTATCTCAGTTTCAGAATAGGAAACTAAGTTTTCTGTGAAACTTCATCACCGTGTTCTTCAATGCGCAGAGCAGTATTTGAAGCTACTCAGACACAGCCCATCATATCTGTGAGGCCCCAGCCTTTCTCCGTGTTCCCCACTCTGTCTGAAAGTTGTCTGTACTCTTCCTTTCTCAACATCACGTGCAAGCATATCTGAGTCGTTGGTACCAGGTGTGACCTCACCTACCTGATACTGATTTTCATTCTGCTGTGCATCATCCCTAACTCTTTCATTTTTATATTCATTGAGGGCGTCAAGGCTGCTCATCTCGAATCTCATAGATAAACTAATTTGTTTATAAATGGATAGAGGTATCGTTGTCTGCTCTCATCACACCCAAACACCTACAGACCAAAAGGTGCATCATTTTATTGTAAATATCTCTCCTTTGTTCCTCCTTTATACCAAAATAAGGATGTTGCAATGATTATTAAAATTACAGCAGTTTTGAGTTTCACTTCAGATATTAAAAACAGAACTACAGAGTCTTTGTTATAAAAGCCAGAGTGGTTGGTTGTTCGGTTTGCCTACTTGCTTGTTTT